CTGAGTTTAAATAAATGTGAGATTTCTCTTTCTGGTCCAACTGCCCAGTGTTGATTATCTTGGGAAACTGTTAAAACAGCCACACTGTCGGAAACCGTCTCTGCTGGCAGCTGTCCTGTCAGCCAGGCTGCAGGCTGGCCCCAGGCATTGGCAGGGCAGTGTCTGCCGAGGAGTCAGGCTTCCCTGGACATCCACGAGCTCACGGAAGACAGGCAGGCAGGAAGAGTCACAGGAACGGGGCATGTACATAAGCACCTGTGGTGTGCAACCCTTAGGGGCCGTGGGGAGTCAGGGCTGGGTGCTGCCGTAGATGAGAAGGACCCTGGGTTAAGGATGTTCCTGGCTGGAGACCATAGCTCCTGTGTTTCTCCCAGCCTTGCTCTGTGGAAACAGCTTGTCATCAGAGGAGCTGGAAGGGGCCTGGGCAAGTGTGACTTCTCCAGGGACTCCGCTCTTCATGGGAGGGGGCGCTGCTCCACTTGGCATAGTGTCAGGCTATCTGGGGTCTGCTGGGTGGCCTGGGGTTTAGGGAGGTCGCAGGGCCGCAGTGGGAGGCATTTCCTTGAGTGAGAAGCTGGCCTCATGGCAGATGCAGAAAGACCCGCCATGGCCAGGCACCTCTGCTGTCTCCTCAGTCCTCAGAGAGCACTTCACCACCAGTCACTCTTTTTTTTAATTGAGGTGAAATTCATAAAACTACAGGAACTGTTTTAAAGTGTACATTCCAGTGATAGTTAATGTTGTATAAGCATCAGCTCTGCCCGGTTTGAAAACTGTGTCATCGCCCCTACAAACACCCTGAAGCCGTTCCAGATGTGCACGTCACGGCTTCTGGATCTCAGATGAGGCCCCTTCCCAGCCAAGAAGGCTGCACCTCCCAGCTGAGCACCCACACATATGAGTGGAGGTCCCAGCTGGGAAGTGTCAGATGTAGCACAGAGCACTCTCGGTCTTGATGGTCCCTTCAGTCCCCAGCAATGACGTCTGGTCTGGGATCACTACTGGTTTTGTAAGAGTAGTCCCACGTAGTGATCTGGGGCTTGACTTGGGACTCAGGAGTCCCCTTCTGTGGTGGGTGTGGTGCTGGCACTGGCGGGTTGGAGGCTGAGAGGGGTTTGATCCCACTTGGAACCTCTTTCCCATCTTCTCTAGGTCTCCTCTCCCTGCCCTGTCCCTGTTCCATCTCTGTGTGTACTTTCACATTGTCCCTGACCCATCTCAGCCTAGCTGCCGAGAAATGGGCAGTGACCACTTCCATGACCCAGCCTCCTGCCACTCACCCTCAGTCTCATCCAGCCTGCTCTTCCTCTATCCTCCTTCTAAACATGTTGTGGGTGTGCATGAGGGATTTGGGATGTCAAATTGTTTGTTTCCAAGTACAGGGGTTAATTTCTGCTCCAGCTGCTTGAAGCCCCAGAGCAGATGCCTGGCACTGGGGGAAGGCACGCACTCTCTCTCTCCCTCTCTCTCTCTCCCCCCCCTCTCTCTCTCTCTCTCTCTCTCTCTCTCTCTCTCTCTCTCTCTCGCATGTCCTTCCTGAACCAGAAGATGAAGAGCACAGCCTTTGCTACGGTGTCCGTGGATGTGTGTGCTCCTTCCAGGAGCCAGGCCAGAGCCCCTTGTCATTGGGAGCCTTGCATCTCACATGGTTCTGGGTACGTGGCACATGTTCAGTGACAATGTCTGAAGTCAGCGAAGGCCTTTCGCTTCAATAAATCCGTGGGCATTGGCCAAATGCTGTCCGTATCCAGCCGAAAGTGAGGCGTCATGGTTGCCGTCCCATTTACAGAGCTCATTAAGACAGGAAAACAACAGGCTGGCCACCTGATGATTAATTTTGAAGCCAGGAAACATCTGTATGCATGCCTCTGGTGTGAGTTGGAGCTGGGAGCCTTAAGGAGCTAAGATGGCTTTAAACGACATAACTAAGTTGTCTTAGAAAGGGAGACTGCTTCCTGCAGCTGTGTGAGCTGGTGGGACATAGTGATAATAGTCCTGATCAGCCAAGGACGGAGGGGCTCCCATGGCAAGGTCGTTTCAGTTTAGAACCAGATGCAGATGAGGCCCCTTCCTGACAAAGAAGCCTCTTCCTCCCCAGCTGAGCACCATCCCAGAGCCACACAGATAAATCTGAGCGTGTTCAGAGAAGGGAACCAGAACGGTGGGAGCTGTGGACACCATTGTGGGGACAGCAGAAGGGAGAAGAAGGTTTAGGCAGAAATGGAGATGACTTGGGAACATATGGCCTTTCTCTTGAAAATCTGTAGGCTTGTCATACATGGAAGAGAGAAGGAACTTTGGTCATCTTAGTTTAAGGGCATTAAATTAACTGCAATTGGGTAGACTGCAGTGTGATAAAGGAAGAACTCCCATCAGTGAAGGCTGAAATCAGGCTCCGCTGTGGCAGAGTGAGCCCTTTCTCTGGGCGGCTCCCATGAATTTACATCAGGGATACTTGCAAATAGATTCGTGAAAAGGAGATGAAGGACAGTCCAGGTGACTGAAGAACTTGTATATGTGTGACCCTGTCTGAGGAATAGGGAGGTGCTGAGATCAGGGTGGCTGGGCTCTACTAAGCAGCTGGATCTGGGTGTGTCCCTGGGATGGAGGGGGCAGGAGAGCACAGCAGGTGCGCCTGGCAGAGAGGAGGCAGGATGATCCAGGCGTGCAGTAGTTTCCTAGGGCTGCCAGAACAACGTGCCCCAAACTGCGTGGCTTGGAAATAGAAATGCGTCATCTGACAGTTTTGGAGGCCCTGAGTCTGAGATGAAGTTCCTTCTGAGGCCTGTGAGGGAAACTCTGCTCCCGGCCTCTCTCCTGGTGTCGGCTGGTTGCTGTCTGCTTTCAGCATTTCTTGGCTTCTAGATACATCACTCCATCTCTGCCTTCTTCTTTACGAGGCCTTCTCCCTGGGTGTGTCTCTGTGTTCATATTTCCCCTTCAGATGAGGCCCACCTTAGTGACCTCATTCAAGCTTGCTTCTGTAAAAACCCTATCTCCAAATAAAGTCACTTTCTGAAGTGCTGGGGGTAGGACTTCAACATATTTGGGAGAAAGCGGGGGACACAATCAGTGGACCAGTTGGGACAGAGCAAAACATTTGAGTATTTAAAACGGGAAGTAAGGTTGGGAAGATCATTTTGGGCTCCACTCCCACTTTGCCCCATGTCTAAGCCGTTCTTGGAGGACTGAGCTGGCTTTCAGGTCATGGGGTGTACAGAGCCAACCACATCAAAGGAAGCAGGACAGTGATTTGCAGAAGCTCCATCCATGAGGATAAAGGCCTCATAAACTTCTGTTTCAGAGGTCAGAAGTCCTACTTGAATTAGCTTAAGAAAAAAGTAAGAGAAATTTTTGGCTCAAATAAATGAAAATTCTAGGGGTTGGTCTGATGTTGGCTTTGGGCAAGAGTAGCTCTAAGATTTCAGGGCTTTCCTGTTGGGGTCAGGGCTCCATCTCTCACTATTGTGGTGCAAGCTTCATAAATTAGGGAGGAGACCTTTATTTCTCATGAAGGGTTGCAGCCTGCAGGTGGCCTTCTTACAGGCTGGGAAGAAGAGCCTCGGGCAGAAACCAAGGGCGAACACTTCTTCACAAGAAGGGTAAAAGAAACGAGAATTTATACCAAGTGGGTGGCTGGATATGCATATTTAATAAGCTATAGGAGGTTCATTAATTTTTATGAATAGAGAAATATGTGCACACACAATTGAGTTTCATGTTGCTTTGTAGGACCTGTGTTTAAAACATGGCCATGATAGGCTGGGTGCGGTGGCTCACACCTGTTACCCCAGCACTGTGGGAGGCTGAGGCATGTGGATTGCTTGAGGTCAGGAGTTTAAGACCAGCTTGAGCAAGAGTGAGATCCTGTCTCTACTAAAAATAGAAAAACTAGCTGGCCAGCGCCTGTAGTCATACCTACTCAGGAGGCTGAGGCAAGAGTGTTGCTTGAGCTCAGGAGTTTGAGGGTGCTGTGAGCTAGTATACTATGGCACTGTACCCAGGGCAACAGAGTGATACTGTCTTAAAAAAAAAAAAAATGGTCATGATAGCGGATCAGAGGGTGACGTTTCCAGCCCTGTGACATCAAAAGGACAGAGGATACAAATTCCACTTGTGCAGCCTCCATAGACTGGCCAGAACCACTTTGTGGTTGGTGGTCTCTTATCAGGAAGGAATGCTGGTCAGTTGTGTTGACTGTAAAAAGGAGGAGCGGCATTAGGGGGTTGGGTGAACTCAGTCCCGAGCAGATTCTTTGAAAGGGCTGGTTTCTGCTTAACCCTCAGGGAAGGAAGCCGGATGGCAGTTAGGTTGGGAGGGGATATAACAAGGTGTGTCCAATCTCCTTTCCTATTATGGCCAAGATTTCAGTTTATAAACTTTCTCTGGGATCCCAGTGGCTAATAGGGAGTCTATTCAGTCAGTTGGGGGCTCAGGATTTTATTTTTGTCTCTCACTATGAATATTCATGAAGGGGAAGGTGCATGCTTAGTAAACAAACATGCATGTTACATTGGGCCTGTGTTCACCTTAGGGTGGAGACTTAACATTTAAATGTATTCAAATAAGGCTGTTTTTGTGGAGGGGTGAAATGGTGGACATGGAAGCATCTGGTGTGTATCCTGTGTCCACAATCAGTGGTCTCTTGTCAGGAAGGGATGCTGGTCGGTTGTGTGAATCAGCAGTGGAGCAAGTCTTTTGAAAGGGCTGGTTTCTGTTTAACTCTTAGGAAAGAAAGTGTAATTGTGGCCAGTGAGGTGGGGGTATCAAGCCATGGCTGACCTTCTATCCAGTCATGGCTGGGACTCAGCTTAAGACTTTCCTGGGATTGCCGTGGCCAACAGGGGATCTGTTTAGCTGGTTGTTTTTCAGAGCCGATGTTAGAAGCTAGAGATTGGGCTGTGTTATCCCCTCAGTTCCCACATCAACCAGGCAGGTGAGACTCTGTCTTAAAAAAAAAAAAAAAGGCCATGAATTCAAAACTGTATTTGTGTCCCTAGATCCTAATAACTACTATCACCGGCGGAATGAAATGACCACCACTGATGACCTGGATTTTCGGCACCACAACTATAAGGAAATGCGCCAGGTAAGGCCCAAATTACAAAATCTCAGGCCAGAAATTTCTCAAAATGACAGCATATTCCATGCCCATCAGCACTTAATTTTTCTCCACTCCAGAAATTTGGATGATGTGTCAAAGACAGGGAACTGAGGGTCATTGGTTTGCTGAAGACACACTAAGTGCACTAAATCTTGTCATTTCCAGGTTTGGGGTCTGGGTGACCAGTGGAAGCCTTGCTCACTGGCCAATGACTGAATCACAGTTTGAATCCAGAGTCTTATCAGTGAATACCTTAGTTCTTAAGAATCACTGTATTTTTGAGTGATGGAACTGATTTGAAGATGTGGTCAGATGTGGAATTGAAGAAGAAAAGGGATCTAGGATAATGTTGATAATGACAATTGCAGGAAGTGTTCTCATAGGACTAAGTGCCGTGCTCAGTGGTTTACATACGTGAATGTATTTAACCCTCCTAATCACCCTAGGAGGGAGGGGACTGTTGATTTCCTTACTTACAGATAGGGAAACCAAGTCACTGACTATAACTCTACCCTTATTATTTAGATTCTCAGAGTTTCAGTCTTGGCTTCATATGAGAATCACCTAGAAAAATTTGTAGCACTGTCTATCATTGTATCCAGACTCAGGCCAATTAAAGCAGAGTCCTGGAGAGAAAAGAGCCTGGAGACGCCCAGTTTGAAGACGTCTCCTGGTGACTCTGCTGTCCAGCCAGGCTTCAAAACTCCTGCTCCATACCTTTATAGCTTAAGTACTGTTAGAAAGAAAAGGCAGTCCCACCTGAGATTCTCCCCTGGATTTCTTCACAGAAACCCAGCAGTTCTGAGATCTTCACAGTGTTTGCCTACTGGATGCAGAAAGGGGAGGATTACACATTTATTAGGACAAGCTAAAAGGCAGTCGCCATGTTAAATGCGCTGTCTATGAAATCCTGTTCCGAGTCCACCCCCAGCATGTGCTAGAAAGCTTGGGGAGGAGCTGGCGAACAAGAAACCTTCAGCTGAGAATCGGAAGAGGCAGAGCAGGCAGAAGTGTCCTTTAGATGCATTTACAGAACAGGGATTCACCAAGGGCAAATGAACATGGCTCCAAGGGAGGGCTCGTAGGTGCTGAGGGAAGGGACCAGCCATCCAGGGCCAATGTGGGACCTGTTTCTGAGGTCAGCACAGTTAGGCTGAGCCCTAATCCCATGGGATGAACAAGCCCGAGATACTTGAGCCTCTCTCACATACGGCTTCCAGACACCTGTCAGCACAGACTTAGAGGTGGGATGTGCTAAAGAGAGCTTCTTGCTGTCTTGCTCTTCAGAAATCAAGATGATGTGTTTGGACTTGAGGCCTGTGAGTCATCCCTGCTGCTCTCCCTTCTCGGGTGTTTATGTGACTCCGCTCACAATTTCATTTCATACTGGTACATTAACCCTGCTTTGCTCACAGGGTAACTTTTAAAGCCCAGCAATGAGCTCAGTGCAATTAATATCAAAAGTAGTCAACCCGAATGCATGTAAATGAGCAAACCGCACACAGAGAGTCTAGCCAGCCGGGATCTTTAATGAGTGGTCCGTGTGGTGTGCTGGGGTGCTGGGGTGCTCTCTTACAAGGAATGCTGGTGGAAAGTGCTGCATTACACTAGGCAGCTCAGACCCTTGTTGAGGCTAAGAGGAACCTTTGGATTGTCAATGCTGCCCTCTCAGGTGACACTGGGGGACACCCCTGAGGTCCTGTACCTCAACAGCACTCAACTGGAAACTGCCCAAGGGAGCGCCCATCACTCCTGAGGAGTGTTCAAGCCAGGAACGATTTGCCATTTGGATTCCTGGCCCTGCAGATGGGAAGGAAGACAGCATTTTTAGCAATTTCTCCATATGGAGTCTGCTAGATTACTGTAGAAATCTTTCTACCTAGGAAAAAATGGTTCTTTTTTCCTACCATTGAAAGAGGCATTTATAACAAGCGAAGAAACAGGAGCTGAAAGCAAGAGGGGAAAATGGAAAACAGTGTTGCATTGTGGGAGGAAAGTAATGAGAATCCGGGTGACCCTGGGAGCACCGCCTTGCAAGGCGCTATTCCAGGCGGAGTGGGGTGGGGAGGGAGGCTGAGAGGAAGGGGAAAGGCCCGGCGGTGACCCTGGAAGGGAGAGTAAGAGAACTGTCCAAGAGAAGAGTCCTAGGACCCCACCAGGACGCACAGCTTATTATCATCTTAGAGTTGGGGAAACAGAATCTTCAAGAGGCCCTGAGTCTTGGACACCCTGGGCCTCTGCAGGAGGTTTTCTCATTATTCTTTTTCTTTACTTAGCTCCTAGGGCACCTCTTTTAGACATTTTTTGTTCGTAATACTTCTCTTCCCATTATATTAAATACTAACAGTAAGATTTTTCCAAAACAGAGTGAGCTTCGGAGGACCACAAAGCATTGTAATGTCTAAGATTTTTTAGCCCTAATTTTCACCCCATGCTCCAAGGTCATGATGAAAATTCTATTCCTTACTCATCCTTTATTCATCAACATTAACCACAAAACCCCAAACTCCTAAAAACTAGCCTTGGCTCTTTTCAGGCATAATTGCATGTATTTACAAGAAAAGGCTGTATTTAAGTGAAGAACTTTATTCCTGGAGATGTTCATGCTGCTCTTCTGGGTAGAGAAGGGTGGATCACCACCTATGTCTCTGATGGTCCCCAAGGCCACTGGAGGAATGCTTCCTGGCCTTCCAGAGGGTCACTGTGCAGAGAGACATGTAAAGAAACTTCATAGAGAAGAATGTTCTTCAAATGACCATTTCTCACATGGGAAAGATGCTTGTGATACCACAACTTGATGGCATGTGGTTCATTTATTAACTGCCACTGTGCTGTTGGTGGGAGAGTATGGCTGTGGCAAGGGACTATTGAGAAGGGATCCTGAGAAGGGACACTACTAGAAGGGACCCTGATGGCTCGTGGCCACGGCATCTTCCCGTGTGCGAGGCTGAGTGTATCCACAGGGAAGGTGAGACTTGTCTTCTTCCCCTGTCAGGATCATGATTTGGGGTACTGGCCACACATTTCTCCTGTGGCTAACTGAAAGGGCTTGGGGGGCTAACACTGAAGGACAGTCAGGCCACTTCAGATGTGGCAATCAAGCCTGCATAGCTCACTGTCCATAGAACTAGTCATTGATCTGAATGCAAGACAGCAGGTCACTCACTGATCAGGATGTGCTGAGGCTGATGCTGTTGGCTGAGAGCAACTGTGCACCAGCCCAGACTAGTGCACAGGGCCTCAGCAGAGATGGCACCTGTGCTGTGGCCGTCCTTCACAGCGGTCACACAAGCAGTAGACAAAATGAGACGTGTCAGTTCTCATTGTCTCAGCGCGCCTTATGGACAGATGAGGGGGAGGGAAGAGTCCTGGCACCACCTGCTGCGAGCTGGGTGGCCCAAGTCAAATCACTCAGTGTCTCCCTGAGCCTCAGTCTCCGTGTCTATAGCGTGGGGCTGGCCACCTGCCTCATGTACTTCAACTGGTCATGATGTTGGCAGTCAGAAGAGGAACAATGTCTTCTTACTGCTCTTGTTCACATCATCAGTGACATTATTACTGTGCCTTTTGTTAAATGTGGTGCCACTTGTATTGGGGTGTCGTGCCACCCCTGCAGTATTTATCTTTGTGGCCATGGCCACAGAAGCAACATTTCCCTTGCATGTTCTTTCTCCATTTATGGTGGGCGTCTGCTTTGGCCTCTTGTGATGTGAACCAAAGTCAGCCAGCTTTCTCTCACCTAAATATTATGACACTGAGTGAGTTATCATAAAGGGAAGCGCATTTGCCCCCAGAAGTGAGAGAATTAGACCCTGAATTCCCAGCCAAGGCCTGCCGTCACCCCCCATAGGCACATCATAACAGCCAAGCAATAACTCTTTCTGCTCGTTTAGAAATGTGCCTCGATGCTCCGTAAACCTGCTCTGCCCATTCATTACAGAGTGTTGTGTTATGAAAGGCTAACGAAGCTCACAGCAACACAACTCTACCGTATCATAAATTGTACATAATAACAACTTTCCACTTCTAATAGATTTTAACCCTCCATAAAATTGCAACAGATTTGTTTACAAGGATATTTTATGGATGATTCGTTAGATCAAGATTTTTTGTGAAGCTTGTTAGCACACCTTCAAGTCCACACTGTCCCTGTGGGCCATGCCCTTCCTCGTCTCTCCATCTGCTCATCATTCATAGGATAGAACCCTCCCTGGTAGGCACCTACCCACCGGCCACCCTGCTGGAACATCCTCGCTGTCTGCTAACGTGGCGCCCGAGCTTCCCTCCTAGTCTTTAACACACTGTCATGAAATTTTCCCAGAAACCTGCCAACCCCACCATGAGCCTGGTGCAGGCTCTTCAATAAACAGCGAGTGAATAAACAGATCCTCTTTCACTTGGGGGTTGCTAAACAAATCTAACCCAGCAAATCAAAGCATTCGGTGATGTGAGGCGGGTCAGCCTCTAGGGAGGGGGCCTCACTTGTCCTGCCCAGCCCCCCAGGGTAGCTTGTTCTCCCGTGACAAGCAGGGCCCTCATCACTGCATCTGGCATCTTGTCTCATACTCGCAGACTAAAGCTGTCGGTCTGACTGGCTGACTTTGAAAGCAAAATTCAGAAAATAGCACGTATTTATTTCACTTCCATACGGAAACCTGCTTTTCCTGCCGTTTAACCCCATTATTCTGGTTGTCATGGCAACCCTGTGCTCTCCCGACTTTGCACTAGTGAATTGGGTTCCTGCTCCCTCCCGTCCGGGGCTGCCCAGTGAGGTCCAGGAGGACCGGGGCAGCATCTGATTCCTTGGCCTGACAAGGTAGATGCTCATTAAATTATGGAGAAAAGTAATATTCAGTAAGAAGTACTTACTTGGTCAGGGATGGAAAGATAAAAGGCAGAGTCTGTCCCCCCCCAGGGATTTGTAGTCTAGTGAGGCAGCTGTAAGAAAACGGGAAATCACAGTGAAAAAGTAATGAACACAACAAAGGAGAGGTGAGAGCCACCACCAGGCAGGTAATATCGCAACAAGGAAGATAAACCTTGGCCAAGGAAAGTGATAACCTCAACCAGGGAGGCGATACCACAACCAGGAGGTGAAATCACAACCACTAGAAGGGTCCTGCTATAATAAAAACACTATAAACTGCAGGCTTATACACAACAGAAATTCAGTGCTTACTGTTCCGGAGGCTGTGAAGTCCAATGTCAAAGTACCAGAAAATTCCGTGTCTGGAGAGGGCTTGGCCTAGTTCACAGATGGCACCTTCTTGCTGCATTTTTGCATGGCAGAAGGAACAAGCACACTCTGCTGGGCTTCTCCTATGAGAGCACAAATCCCATCGATGAGGCTTCTGCCCTCATGACCTAATCACCCCCTAAAGGCTCCACCTTTTAATATGATTGCGTTGGGGATTATGTTTCAACATATGAACTTTATGGACACACACGTGTGCAGACCATAGCAGGAGGCAGTAAATACAGGGCTGGGGCAGGCAATGGCCAGGAGCTTCTTCCTAGGGGAGATGAGGATAGAGCAGGTGCAGGAAGCAAGGGTACGGATTATCCTGGGGAAAGAGATGCAAGGAAAGCATTCAGGGCCAAGGGAGGTGACACTATCTGGGACATGGGGAGGGTGGGGCGTTTGGGGACTGTGGAGCGTCTTCTTGGGATCTTTGCCCCTTTGTGGAGAGCCATTGTGGCTAGAACCTTCAACTCACTTTTGCATTGCAGTTGATGAAGGTTGTGAATGAAATGTGCCCTAATATCACCAGAATTTACAACATTGGCAGAAGCCACCAGGGCCTGAAGCTGTATGCTGTGGAGATTTCCGACCGGCCTGGAGAACATGAAGTCGGTGAGTAGGGCTCTTCTGTGAGGCTTGGTCCCTTCATCTTTGGTGCCTTCTTCAAGGGCTAGGAGGACAGTAACCTCGTGAGAACATTCATGAAATAGGGCATCAGCTGTCCTTGCATGACACTCTCACTGGACGGATTCTGTACATGCTGATGTCTGATCTCATGACAAGGGCTGTAGAATTATCTAAACTGGAAATACTCTCCTTTTCTCCATATGGATCATATTTAATCCTGTTTCTCCACTTCTGAGACCAATCATGATAACCAGAGAAGAAAGTGGCTGGGACAGTTAGGACAGAGAATTTTCTCTTCCTCTGCGACATCGTGATCAATGACAGCTCAAATTGGAAAGGTTTCCTTCCCTGTTAAAAAAAGTTTCCATTTTATTTTTAAATATTTTCTTGTTTTCAGCCATTTCTTATCCAGTTGTTCCCAGTCTGTATTCCTGTAGGTCAGATGGGCTTCTCTTGTGTGTGTGTGTTTCATTGTGTTTTCATTTTTCCAGTAAATTTAGGAGATATTTAGAAATCTGTTGGGATTTAGATGCCAGGATTTGTCTGATTCATTCAACTTTAACATTCATCAATATCTCAGGAGTTCCCCTCCAGTGTTTCCTTTAAATGCTAGTGAAACTGCATTTGCTCAAAGCAGCAGCTTTGCTAGTGAGGGAAGCAGATGGACTGTGAGCCTGTGCCCAGCACCGACAAACCCGTTGGGCCGCTAAACAAAATACCTGAGGTTGGGTAATTTATAAACAGCAGAAATTTACTGCTCACCGTGCTGGAGGCTGGGAAGCCTGAGACCAAGGTGCCTGCAGACTCAGCGTCTTGTCATGTGCCTGTTCTTGGGGCATTTTCTTGCTATCTTGTCACATGGCAGAAGAGGAAAGGGCCGAGCTAGTTCCCTCCAGCCCTCTTATAAGGGAAATGATCACACTGGGTCCCAGGTTCCAACATAGGAATTTGGGGGAACACATACATTAAATCATAGCACCCCCAACATTTCAAAAGCTGAGCTTTAAGAGAGAAAAAACTCCAGTCCCCTCTCCAAAACAGTGTCACTGCTGATTTGCCCTGATGGACTGTTTTCTGCTTAACACGGGTAAATTCATTCACCTTATGTCTTTATAAAACTTAATAGAAAGTTCTTTTAAGAAAAAAATCGGTTCCCAAAAGATAAAAATAATTGCTATGGTCTATGTTCAACTTGTAAATTTTAAATCCTAAATACCATGTTATTTTCTGTGTTCTTGATAAATAAGAATGAACATCATTACTTATAACTGGTATCATGTGCGGTTTTTCTCAACATTTTCTTCTATACTTGACTATTTGGGAATAAGGAAATTGTCCTGATACAATTTTAGAGGTTTATGTGAAAGAACAAATAGGGCTAAAATTGTAAGTTTCTATTATTCAGAGATTTCCCCCCCCACACACAATGTGATAAGCACCTTTTAGCTGTGAGCATTTTAGCATGACCTGTGTTTTCTTCCATCCCTGAGTGCAGGTGAGCCTGAGTTCCACTACATCGCAGGCGCCCATGGCAACGAGGTGCTGGGTCGGGAGCTGCTGCTGCTGCTGCTGCAGTTCCTATGCCAGGAGTACCTGGCCCGGAACCCGCGCATTGTCCGCCTGGTGGAGGAGACCCGGATTCACATCCTCCCCTCCCTGAACCCTGATGGCTACGAGAAGGCCTGGGAAGGGGTAATGGCCCTGGATCCCCTTCCCCAATGCCAGCAGCAAATCCCAGCTCCAGAGTATGCTCAACCATGAGTTTCTGTGAAATTACACTTTGCGAATTTTGTGTTTGAGATGGGGAAGCCCACAGTGCTACCCTAAGGGGTAGACATGCTAACAAGTTGGAGAAAGTGAACACAAATATCAATATTGCTATATATACAATCAATGATAACACCTTATGTTGACTGAGCACTTAATCACAGCACGTGTCAACCTTGGTTGTTACCTTTAATCTTCTCATCAGTCCTCTGAGGAGAGTGGCTTTTGTCATTGTGGGGTATTGTTTATATCTCAGGTCCTAATATCATGCAGAATATAGGTTATTGAGTGTGCATAGAATATCATATGTAGAGAACTATGTACATAGAGTATGGTTAGCATTATATTGTGTTATGTGTCCAGAATGATATATAATAAGGTCTGGGAATAAAATGGAAAACTGGAGGGAACTGGAAAACTTTCTTCTAAGTCAGCAGTTCTCAACCTGTGGGTCATGACCCACAAGAACTGTATTAAAGGGCCGTGGCATTAGGAAGGTTGAGAACCACTGTTCTAAGTGAAACATCACAAGAATGGAGAAATAAACACGGGTACTCAGTACCAAATTGGAACTAATGATCAACACTTCAGTGCACATATGGAAGTAAATGTCAAGGAGAATCAGATGGGGGAGGGTTGAGGAGAGGAGGGGTAAATTTACACCTATTGAGTACAGTGCACGCTATCTGGATAAAGGGCACACTGACAACTTTGACTCGGTCTGTACAGAAACTAAGTATGCAAACAAAACATGTGTACCCCCTCATATTCTGAAAATTAAAACAAGAAAGGAACACAATGGTACCTATCAAATGCAAGTTAATGATACAGAGTTTTGGTTCTCTTTATTGGTGCACATGTGATACAGAGTTTTGGTTGTGTTTATTGGTGTACATAGTTGGTTAAAAGTTTACATAGTTAAATAGTGAGCCAGAATGGTGGGCAAGGCAGTAAAGATGCATTGCCGTGGTGGATGTTGATACAACAGTGATGGATTCACCACTACTCAGAGGTAAACCAATCAGTATAGAAGAGAGAGGAAAGAGGGGAAGGTGGAGCCTAATACTCTCTGAGTTCTCTGCGTTCCCTCCTGCATTGCCCATCACTCAGCAAATATTAATAGATGGCTTATCAACATTCTCCTCTGGGTGCCATCTTTGCATCAAAGGGCATCCAGATGCTTAGAGACGAGCCTCAAGGGGAGGTGAACATGATGCATCTAGTCTGGTAGGTAGATTGTCCTGCAGTCTGTGGGTTCTTCACATTCTAATTTGTCCTCAGGGCTCGGAGCTGGGGGGCTGGTCCCTGGGACGCTGGACCCATGATGGGATCGACATCAACAACAACTTTCCTGATTTAAACACCCTGCTCTGGGAGGCAGAGGACCGAAAGAATGGCCCAAGGAAAGTTCCCAATCATTATATTGCAATCCCGGAGTGGTTTCTGTCGGAAAATGCCACGGTGAGTAAAAATACCCACTCATTTGTGCAGCAGCTAGGAGGCCAGGCTTAACCCCCACTGGTATTTACAGAGGATATGACATTTAACAATGAGACAAAACCATTTTTTTCTTTCATGTTTTCTCCAAAAGCAGGGAAATGTGTTAGATAATAACTACCTTTTAAATTCATATTGGCAGAGATTTGTCATAGAAAGGAAATCATTGAATTGTGTTTCTTAACTACCATATAGTGTTTCAAAACCCAAACAGCCTCTCCTGAAGTGTGCATGTTCGTTACTACCATTGTTATTCTTGTCATTATCCGTTATTCTACCATGAAATTATCCTTTCCCTTCAATGATGGCTTCATATATATATATTTATATATATTTTATTTTTTGAGATAGAGTCTCACTTTTTCACCTTTGGTAGAGTGCGTGACATCATAGCAACCTCAAACTCTTGGGCTCGAGCAATCCTCTTGTCTTAGTCCCCAGGTAGCTGGGACTACAGGCCCCTACCACAATGTCTGGTTTTTTTTTTGTTTGTTTGTTTTTTAAGAGACTAGGTCTTCCTCTTGCTCAGGCTGGTCTTGAACTCCTGAGCTCAGGCAGTTCGCCTACCTTGGCTTCCCAGAGTACCAGGATTACAGGTGTGAGCAACTATGCCCCATTATTTTTATTTTGATAAGTCCTCATGGAAATACGATGTGTTGTGTTTCTTTGGAAAGAAAGGTGAAATTGGATGACAAATTTTTACTCTAAATTTTTTAGGTCTTATTTCACAAAGACTGTGTTGTAGAAGAAGTAATTGTCACAGAATTTCCCGTGCCTTTTGGTGCCTTCTGGGTCTGTGGTAGTTGGCCTCCTTACCCTTATTCTTTGATTGTATTTGTCCTTCAAGAGGTTTGCCTTATAGGTGTATAAGTCAGTGTTAGGTTCAGCTACAGCAATAGAAAAGTCAAAATAACGGTGGCTTAGCAAAGTAGATTTTCTTTGTTTTGTCAGGAAAGAGCGCCCTGGAGGCAGATGGTTCAGGGTCAATGAAATAGAAACCCCACAACCATCAGGAGATCAGAATGTATCCATCTTTCTGTCTCAAACTTGTTAACATGTGACATTCACCCTCACGGTTGTAATCCAAGGTGGCAGTTGGGGTGCTCTAGCTATCATGTCTGTGAAGGAAGAAGAGAGGAAAAAATGGTCCTCCTCTCAGTTCGTTTTCCTGTAAGAGGCATTCCTAGAATTTCTACACAATACTTCTACATAAATGTCACTGGCCAGATTCATCTGCACATGGTGTCACCCACTGCAGGAAGGTGGGGAGTGCTCTATTGTAGGCAAGCTCCTTGAAAGCTCAGAAACCACTGGACTCCTCTGCTGAGGCATGGAGGGGGACTGGATCCAGGATAGAGGCTCTCCTGCTGTGCCTTCAAGTTGCAACCTCCAGAACAGCCCATGGGGCACCACTTACTGGAGAAGGTAGAGGTCTCAGTGACCCTCAGTACAGTGTCAGGCAGGCCCTTAAGAAGCCAGCAGTCAGTGATGGGGAAAGACAATGGCCATGCCACTTGACTTAGTTAGGGCACCCCAGGCACTTATGGTGTGGGGGGAGTGTGGGGGGCAGGGGGGCAGGGAGTGGGGGGTGGGAGTGGTGGGAGTGGTGGTGCTTGAGTCTTTTTTCCGAATCCTTTCTCGTGTTTCCTGATTCCAACTCACAGAATCTCTGATTTGTTTTGTTTTGTTTTTTTCCAACTAAAGTCCTCATGACACCTGGCAAAGTAGAGATTTCAAGTGATGTTATAATCTGGGAACACTCAAACCAAAACTGGAATTTGGTTGCCAGCTTTTGTCGCCCTGAGTCTATAAGAGATAAGTAATTACTTCAGCACAGTCAGATAAAGTCCCTGGATCTCAGTCTTTGCTTTCAGACTAGAATTTAGTGTTTCAAGTTTGTTATTCTCCAAAATTATAGGGAGAATGATACAAGTTACCATCCCCAACACCTTTTCTTAGTTACGGAAGAAAGTAGGAGGACTGTGATTACAGAGTCAGAGCAGAAATCAGTGAGATGGAGGAAAACAAACGATATGAAGCAAGAGCATTTGATAAAATCTCATAGTAAAACTTTAGTGTGTAGCTTTCCACACGAGGAAGGCTGTTTTGGGCAAGGTGCAAGTGGCATTAATCATAAACTATTAATGAGTCCACCTGTACGGGAATGGGAAAGTCTGTTCATCGAGAGACTTAACAAGCTAGAAGTCTAGAGCTAAAAAGCTAGAAGTTATTTGCAAATTATGTAACTAAGAAAATTAGAATTTTGAAATATGCAAAGAATAAAAAAGAAAAGTCTAAACAACTCAGTAGAAAAATGGACAAAAGATATGAAGAGGCAATTCTCGGAGGAGGAAACGGGATTAATAAACATGAGAGGATGTTCTCTCTCACTAGTTCTAAGGAATGCAGATGAGAGAACGGCTTCTACCCATTGTTTGACAAAATGAGGAAGGTTGACAATACCGCAGGTGCTGGAGGGGGTGGGGGACAATGGGTCTTGTACGTGTTGTGGGTGAATGTCAATTAGCACGAAGACTTTGGAAAATAATTTGATTACCTTGTAAAGAGGAATATTGACACTATGGCTCCGCAGTTCCACTTTATGCAAGATAAATTGAAGCATGTGTAGCAGAAGACAGTACAAGAAAATTCAAAGTAACACTGTTTCCTATAGTGCATTAGATATCGATAATTATCTAATGCCCATCACTGTAAGAACAGATAAGTTAAGTGAGATCTGCATATTGAAGTGGAAAAGCCTGAGCAATATTTTTATTCAACAACAGACATGAGACTTAGAAACATAAAATTCAGTGGGGGGGGACCCCACAAACTGCAGATGACAGCCATCAGTATGGTTTTCCCCACCTCCACCTTAGGATCATGAGCAAGTAAAACTATTTGATGTATTTTTAGGCTTTTAGGCACACATGTTTGGATAAAACCAAAGAGAAATTATATAAATCACATCATTTAGGACGGGATCCTCAAACTTTTTAAACAGGGGACCAGTTCACTGTCCCTCAGACCGTTGGAGGGCCGGACTGTGGGCCCTGGGACGAGTTGGCTGCTAAGCAGGACAGGCAGCAGCCGCGGCAAAAACACCCGGGGGGCCGGATAAATGTCCTAGGCAGGCTGCATGTGGCCCGCAGGCCATAGTTTGAGGATGCCTGATTTAGGATATAGTGGTTACCTCCGAGTGGGAAGCAGGAGGGTGGGGTAGGAGAAGTCACAAAGGCCCTCAGAGGCTTTCCTGAGACCTGGTTTGAGTTTATAGGTGTTTACAGTATTGAAATATGTACCAGGAAAGAACCAAACACAGACCAACGATGTAACATGCTAAGTTCCATGATTAACTTATAAATCCCATATGTCTACCTCTGCTGGGTTTGGGGTGATCCAGAGTCCCTATGTTAACCAGTTTGGTGAAAATATTTCAAATTGCATATAAAACCAGCACACTGTGCCCCATGATTGCATTAATGTACACAGCTATGATTTAATAAAAAAAAAAACTTAATGAGTCCCATCAAATCCATTTCATCCCTTACTCAGTTTACTATACTGCACAGTTAAATGATTTCCAGAGTTTATTTCTTGGTCATTATCAGTTTTAACTTACTGAAATTCTCTTCATGGGGATTAGTAATTCACAATAGATATTTGATTCACTGCTCAGTATTTGACCATAGAAAACTATACAATTTTAGATTTTAACACAGTTTTCTTTTTTCCTTTAAACTTTTTATCACACAAAAATGTCAAACATACAAAATTAGAGAGAAAGCCATACAAGATCCCCGTGGACCCATCTCAGCTTTGACGCTTATCAATTCCCATTTCATCTACTCATCTACTCCTCTATTCACTTTCTCCTCCTCCCAGATTGTGGAAACCAGTCCCAGGCATTGTGTCATTTCATTTGCAAATATTTCCAGTGGGTATCTCTAAAAAATCAGAATGTTCTTTTAAATCTATTAAGTATTACCATTATTACATTAAAATACGATGCTCACATTCCCCTATTACCATTCCCCACCCTTGGGGATCCCCTCACAGGATACAAATAAAGCAAATTCATTCTCATTGGCCTGTAAGTCTTTTAAAGTTTCCTTTACGTTTTCCCAGGACAGATTTTGAAATTCTAAATTTTCCTAAGATTACTGCATAAAATGACAGGTTTTTCTTTTTTACCTTTTTTTTTGAGACAGAGTCTCAAGTTGTCGCCCGGGGTAGCAACCTCAAACTCTTAGGCTCAAGCGATTTCCTGCCTCAGTTTTTCTATTTTTAGTAGAGACAGGGTCTCGCTTTTGCTCAGGCTGGTCTCCAACTCATGTGCTCAAGCTATCCACCCTCCTTGGCCTCCCAAAGTGCTCAGATTACAAGTATGAGCCACTGCACCCAGGCTGACAGCTTCTTCAAATACGTCCCTATGTCAAAAGCTAAGGAAAGAAAGACGTTTCCCTTCTGCTTTATTTGTCAATTTTGAACATTCGCAGGTGGCTGTGGAGACGAGAGCGGTCATTGCCTGGATGGAAAAGATCCCCTTCGTGCTGGGCGGCAACCTGCAGGGGGGCGAGCTGGTGGTGGCCTACCCCTACGACATGGTGCGCTCTCCGTGGAAGACCCAGGAGCACACCCCCACACCCGATGACCACGTGTTCCGCTGGCTGGCCTACTCCTATGCCTCCACTCACCGCCTCATGACTGATGCCCGCAGGAGGGTGTGCCACACGGAGGACTTCCAGAAGGAGGAGGGCACTGTCAACGGGGCATCCTGGCACACCGTTGCGGGAAGTAAGCATCACTGGGCCAATGCCAGTGGCCTGCTGGGACAGGGCGACCTTGCAGGGGTGTCTTCCCAGGGTGTGTCACTGTCGACCACATTATTGCTAATGGGTGGGTGTCATAGTAGTCAAGCATTTCCGAGGTGCCAGCCTTTGACTGAGCATCCACACAAGCCTTCCAGTAACCCCTGCCACAGTCCCTAGGGACTGTGTCTGCCTCCTTGATTCATCAATGACACAACTAAAATCTGCTTGAGTGAGCAGAGTTGGCACCTGTCTGATTCCGTGGCCTGCTCTTAACTACTGAGCTGTTCAGATTCCACAGGACCAGGGCTAGACTTAGTGGCAACTTGTGGTGTCTGGACCAAACTGGACAAGCTGGAGAGCATGCTGGTGCTGGCATAAAAGCCTGGGCTTCTCATCCAGAACCCTTCTTATCTGGGGGGACGGGGACGTCCCATGTTGTAAATCCACAGAGAGGGCTGGGCATTGATCCAAGCTTTGGTGTGAAGTGACTCCAAGCCTCGGGGGTGTTCTGAGATTCAACATGTGGTGAAGACCGTTTCCTATGTATCTACTGTCCACGGGTGGTCAGTGGGCTGGATTCCCACAGCACACCCACAGCAGGGGTAAAAGCCATCGGTGTGGGTCATGTGAGGTGGATACCACATGGGACTGGAGAGGCCTCTAGGAGAGATTTCAGGGATTCCCTTAGAGGAGCTAGAGGACCCTGATGGTCCATGTGTCAGGACAACTACTTTGTTCTGAGCCCAGGACTCCTGAACCAAGAGAGCTGAGGATGTCCCATTCCCTAAGGTATTGCATACCCCATACCTGATGTTCATTGCCTATTTTCTTTACTTTGTGAGGGTTAATCAAGCCAATGATGAATTTGAAGAATATTCCATGTCAGATATACCTAGGTTTAAATCCCAGTCTGTCATTTGGTTGCTGTGTGACTCTGGGAAAGTTACTTTACCTCTCTGAACCCTCATACTTTCCATTATAAAACAGGCCCGATGATGCTAATGATGCTGATGCTGATGTGAGGTTCACGTCAGTGCAGGGTATGGATGTGCTCAGCATCCATATCCCAGAAACACTCAGTTACGATGAGTTCCTGTCTCCTGCCAGCTCCTTCCTTCTTTCCATAGCCCAATGGCCATGACACCGTTTTATGAGCATATCCTTATTCTCTGTTTCTCTGTAATAATTAGTTTTAAATTATTTTATTTTGCAACTTTTCAAGTATGTTTCTGCCCTTACAAAAAGAAAAAAAAAAGAGTAGAAATATTTGTTTCCTGTGGCCATTTTACAACATGTTCAGAAAGCTTGCTGAATTTTCTTGGTCACAGACTAAGTGGAAGCATTTTGTTTGTTCCCACCATGGTTTTACCTTTTATGAAATAAAAAGAAAATGCAAATATGTATCAAGAAAATTTCCTGAGGGCAAAAAACATTCTTGGTTTTCAATTTTAGACCTAAAAACCTACCTACAAAAATCTTTAAGTAAAGTACCTGTTTATTTTTCACAGCTGCTGTGACCAAATCGGGTCTGGAGACAGCTGGGTTCCCAGTAGGGTCACCAGTAACGTTCTGAGAACTTGGCTGGTGCATAATCACGCTGACAGCATTTGAGTTTGTTTTTCCCTATCAATTATATTTTCCATTATTTCAGGGACTCTGTGGCAGAGCCATGTGGCAGCTCAAGCCTTTTTTAATCATTCTTCTTCTCGGCAGTGTGATGAAGTTGCAGATTCGTTTCTTTGTAGATTAATGAAATGTGATTTCTCGTTGCCTTCCCTCCCCCTGCATCTGCACCTCTCTGTTGAATTCTTTCTCACCAGTGAGCAGTGCACTGCCAGGCACCAGGGAAGGAGGAGTGGGCTGGTGATGAGAAAGGGCCACTGGATTTCAAAAGGCACATCATTTACAGTGGGTGCACTCTCACCTGTGCTCACTGCGACCCACACCCTCTCCTGCACAGAGAGGCAGGGGTGTGGTGGCGTCAGGCGCACAGGGCTGTAAGGGACACACCTCCCTGTCCTTGCTGCAGTCCTGCCCTCTCTCCTGAATAGGGAAGGCAGGTGTGTGGTAGTGTCAGGCATGTGAGGAACATGGCTCTGTGTCCCATGTTGAAGCTGTGACAAGAGAAGTCCAATCAGAGAGAGTGAGCACAGAGCCGCATCCACCATCCCCTGCCAGGATAGAAGTCTGGTAAAGAGCTGCCTGGGGACATCAGCCCCTTGTCCACATCTCAAACAGAAAGGACCTTGGGCTTCTGAAGCCATTCTCTGGCCAAGGCAACACTGTCTGGACAGCAAGGCCCACGCTTCCCACAGCTCTGCTGGTTCCTCGTCACTGTGCCAATTCTTCTAGAGCTTCTGGTGCTTTAGAGACACTCATTGCAGAACGGCTCATTCCAGAATTTTAAAATATCACATTTATTTCAGGACTAACAAGGCCTCAAAGGGTGGGGATAATGATAATTTTATGTGCAGAGAGGAGTCCAGCCCTCTTAGGAAGTGAAAACCTGTGCAGGCTGGTGGCTGTGTTGTCCCCTGGTCTCCTCATGCTCTCTGTAATTCCACCTTGCAGGGTGAACCAACCTCCTTTAACCAGACCAGGCCCTACCCAAAGGATCCCCACTAATTCGGCATGATGTGCTCCTTCCATTCCCCTGCACCTGTCGTTCCTCATTTTCTCTAGGATGTGCTGTAAGGCCTGTTGTGATGACTCATGGGTGGTTCCAGCCTGGAATCCAGTAGAGACTGGTCATATCTTTGGTATCTTTTTGCCTCTGACTTCAAGGATTAGGCAGCAGATTAATACAGAGTTGCCTTTGAGACTCCAAAAGGCATGATTTTGAAGCAGACATTTATATTGGGCATCGCAGGGGCAGATCCCTATGGTGAGATCAGTGAGAAGGGAGGAGGAAAGGACGTCTAAGGGGCACAGCTGGTGGAGCCTACCCAACTCCTGCTTTCTGCAATCCTGACCCTCAGAGCCCAGGGAGGGCTGGTTAGAGGTGCCTCCAAGACACTAATGCAGAACTTAGCTTGCTAATCATCATGTTCAAAAACGAAAGTGTTGAGATGAAAGCCACCAGTACTCACTGCCATCTGACACCCCTTTATAATTTTCACGAATATTGGGCAGTGCAGCAGGTGCAGTGGTGGCTCCTGGGGCCTGTGAATGTTGCCTTATTTTGAATGGTTCTTTTCAGGTGTGATTATGTTAAAGGGTTTCCAGGTGGGGTTCCCCTGGGAAACCTGGCTGGATCCTAAAATCAGTGGGCAGAGTCCTTGTAAGGGACAGAAGAGTGAAGATAGAGGCAGAGGAGTGCCCAGGGCCACCAAAGCTGGAAGAGCAAGGAAGGATTGTCCCCTGAGGATTTGGAGGGAGCTTAGCACCTTGATTACAGACTTTCTGCCTCTAGAACTGGAGAGAATAAATTTTCGTAGTTTTAAGCCACCCAGTTTGTGGTGATTTGTAATAGCAGCCCTGGGAAATGAATATGGAGCCCAGCTGTAAGAGGGTAGGTGCTTCCTATCCTGCTGTGGTCACAATGGGTAGAGGCTCTGTCTGCTCCTGGGCTTCCTGGGTGAGCGGGTTTGCCCTGCAGTTCCCACCCAGCAAGGCTGTTTGGAGACAAGAGCCAGGACTTGTTACATAGACCTGGCCTCAAGCCCCAGCACCAGCCCTTTCCAGACTCATGATACTGGATACCATTCTCCCCATTCTCAATTTCAATTTTCTCCTCTATAACATTGTGCTATGCTATGACATGTGGGTCACTACGAACATTTTAAGACAGTCAGTGTTAGGAGCCATTATTTCTCTTCCAAGAAATACTGTCAACAGCGTCCTTTCTGATTCACCCGTGCAAGTTTCAACTTGATCAGCTTATCAGTGTTTCTGGGAGATCTTCTTGTTTCCACCTGCGTGGATATTATGTGTCTTGGTATTTGTGTATCTTAAAACTTTCATAATGACCCACACATCTACCTCTGCTGGGTTTGGGGTGAAGATTAAGTGACCTAATGGATACAGATGCTTAAGACAGATCTGTCTGATGTAAGGCTCACAACCAAGTAGGGGTAGCTGTTTTAATGAATCATAATAAAAAACTATTCCAGTGCTACAGTGAGACAATGTAACTATAGAGATAAATTTAATTAAACTCTTAAAATTATAGTGGTGATTAATGGTGTTACTCTAAAAACGGTATATTAAACTTAGTTTAATAAAGTAGATATCTTATCTAAAAAGCACTTATCTGAGTCTTTCTTTTATCAAAGATGTCCTTGCATGTGTCTGTCCTTGCCATAAACTGTTCAGACTGCACCCCCTCTCCGTTTTCTCTAAGCCACTCACATTTGCCCAAATGCACATTTTTGTGTATGGTGGATATTTGTCACTGCTCTGTTCGATGCGGTCTTCTGTATGTTTTTAAATGTTCCTGCTGCCCCGTCCCCTCCCCAAGCCATCTGCCCTGTTAAAACGTTGTCCTCTTGGCTTGGCAGGTCTGAACGATTTCAGCTATCTTCACACAAACTGCTTCGAGCTGTCCATCTATGTGGGCTGTGACAAGTACCCGCACGAGAGCCAGCTGCCCGAGGAATGGGAGAACAATCGGGAATCTTTGATCGTGTTCATGGAGCAGGTAAGGCATTGGCATGTAGCTGTGATGAGAGAGCTAAGAATGAAGCCAGGCAGGTGGCTGAAAGCCTGGGATGGAATCAGCTGTAGACTGGCCAGCCTGGCCACGGCATTGTGAGGAGCCAAAGTCTGTTCTCACTTGCTTAGACCCCAAGGAAGTGAGCTCTAGACCCATGGCAGTCGATCCCACTGACTCGAGGGAGTGGGACTAGTCTCGGGCTCTTGGTGCTTGTTTTGTGGGAGCAGGTGCAGGCCGTGTGTGTTCGAGTCCACATGAACAGGCCCTTCGTCCTGGTCTGCCTGGGTTGCTGTCACAAAATTCTAAGACAGGTGGCTTAAATGGCAGATGTTTATTCTTTCACAGTGCTAGAGGGTGGAAGTCCAAGATCAAGGTGCTAGCAGAGTCAGTGTCCTCTGAAGTTTCCCTCTTGCCTTGCAGACAGCTACCTCCTCGGTCTCTACCTGGTTCCCCGTGTATCCTCCCATCTCTGTGTGTGTCCACATGTCCTCTTCTTATAAGGACTCCTGTCACATTGGGTTAGGGCCTGCCCCAACAGCCTCATTTAACTTAATTGCCTCTTTAAAGCTCCTGTCTCCATATAGTCAGATTCTGATATACTGGGATTGAGGCTTCAGCATATGAATTTGGGGGTATACAATTTAACCCAAATACGCTGCGGGCCTTCAGAGTCACTGTTGTAGGTGGCAGGGGTGAGTTAGCCAGGAGCAGGTGTAACAAATACCTGCTGAAGTTCTGCTGTTCAGTTGGGAAGGCACCTGCCATCTTCATTAGGGACCCAGGCCACCTTCCCTGTCCCATGTTCTCGAGGATGGTCCCATCTAGTAGCATTAGTGAATTAACCTGTTCTAGTTTAGTGCTACAACCAACTGAATACTATACTTGCCCCCACTAAGAAACAGGCTAACTGGAAACCAAAGGTATAAACAATAAGAAAAAAAATGTTGAGCCTCAGGGCTCCTGCCATTTGTAAGTATTATAGTAGACATATGACTGAGTCTACCCTCCCACCATCCACAAGGAAGTGAAGTGACACTCTGAGTCTACATGAGTGTCAGACATGAGTGAGAAGATGTACTTAGCTGAGGGCTTGGCGGCCAGCATGCTGGGCCCTGTGGCTGCACCTCGGTACAGGTGGCAGAGTTTGGCACCAGGATGGAGCATCTGAGTCTGCCCCTTGGGGTCCCAGGAGGCTCAGTGCCGCCCCCCATGAGCTTCCCTGGCACAGAAGGCACAGAAGGGTGTGGGCCTCTTCTTCTCTCTCAGGGAAACGTCTCACTCAAAGAGTTTCTGTCCCTGGAATTTAAAAAGGTTCTTTTTCTTTTGCATCTGTGTAATGAGAGATGGCTTTGACTATAGCAACCTGATCATTCCTAAGCAGTGATTCAGTTTAGCCAAAGAGTGTCCTAAGGATAAAATGGCCAGGCATAGTAATATGTGTAAAGAAAGCCACTGGGAAGGATGGCCTGTCGCCTTATATTGTCACATCCTAGCAGAACTGAGGCATGAAGTTCACAGTCGATGTGTATGGTGTGACACAGCGAGTCCTTGGAAGGGCCCTATATGCAGAGCTGTCATTTGTACGAAGGTCCCTTTGAATCTTTCCTCATTAAGTCCATACAGGCCAGGAAAGTCAAAATAAACATGCTCAGAAAAATTAAATTCCAATTTTTAGTAGATATATTTTTATGAACCACCTCAGATCCTAATACTTTTTAATTCTAATGGAAGATTTTCTGGTGCTTGGGCCCCAAAAGGGAGGCAGAAGGAGCCTGCACACCAAATGCACATGGAGCCCAGAGAGTCTTTAGGGGGCGCTGTGAATTCCTGGTGGGGAGGGGTGGCCTCAGGTTTATAGCCCAGTCTGTCGTGCTGGCTGTGTCCAGAGCTGGTTGGTGACCTCACCCTGTGTCTCATCATGTTTGCTGAGCAGATTCATCGCGGCATCAAAGGTGTAGTGAGAGATTCACATGGAAAAGGAATTCCAAATGCCATTATCTCCGTAGAAGGCGTTAACCATGACATTCGAACAGGTAACTTGGAATATTTATAAACTATTTCTTGGTAAGAAGTTCCCATTTTTTTAAAGTGTTTTACTTGACTTACAGTCATGAGTAGAATGCCAGAAACTTCTCATTCAGCGCGGAATGAGTCTCCTTCCTCTCACTTTCCACCTTTCGAGAGACCCTGGAAAGCAAGGCTTCTCTCCTGTGCTGTCCCTTCCACAGGGCGGACGGGGTGGGGGTGGGGGGGAAGCAGCCAGCCAACACCTAGGCATGGTGGAAGTTTCTCGAAAGTTAAGGAAGTACCTCGTGGGGCAGAATGTGGCCGGTGCCAGTGAGCACTACAGGGCTAGAGGGGAGGAGCTGCAGGCATGGGGTGGGTAGCACCAGGGCTGGTGGGGAGAGTCCACTGGAGACGGCAGCAAGGGTGGCTGGAAGGCTGGGCCTGGCCTTGAAGTGCCCATCCACCAAGGATGGGAGGGTGTAATTTTCCCATTAAACCACAGAAACCCACTGTACATGGTATTTTAGGAAGACTCAGGTGTCTGTAATGGGAAGAGTTGCATCATAATAACAGTAACATAAGTTCACTCTTTTAATAGCTTTACCAGCAGCAGCCCCCAGAAACCCTCACAGTGATGCTAATGCTGATCCTAATGCCGTCCTGAGGGGATAAATGAGGTCTGTGAAGAATATAGCAAGGAGGCCCGGCTCCCACCTAGTACACATGATGAGGGGCTGGTGTTAACTGGTCACATGACGAGGGTTTGCTGGTGTTAACTGGTCACAGTTGGCACATCAACTTCCCTTCCAGTGGCGAGTAGAACATTCTAGAATCTCAGATAATCTGGGAGTCAGAGGATGATATTTAAAAGGCAGTGCTGAAGTCTTAGTCCAACTGTCTTTGCTACAGAAGAAAAGAAATTATAAGACTTGGGGTCTTGGCTCGGCGCCTGTGGCTCAAGTGGCTAAGGCACCAGCCACATACACCTAAGGTGGGGGGTTCGAATCCTCAGCCCGGGCCCGCCAAACAACAATGATGGCTGCAACCAAAAAAAAAAATGGCCAGGCGTTGTGGCGGGCGCCTGTAGTCCCAGCTACTTGGGAGGCTGAGGCAGGAGACTCGCTTGAGCCCAGGAGTTGGAGGTTGCTGTCAGCGTGATGCCACGGCACTCTACCCAGGGGGACAGCTTGAGGCTCCGTCTCAAAAAAAAAAAAAAAAAAAGACTTGGGGTCTTACATAACACTGTTTCCAGTCCCTGCAATACCAAAAGTAATCTCACATTTTTAAATGCACTAAAAGAGTGGCTACAGGCCCTTAGGACAGGCAAAGCTGGTCCCACAGCCCTTGGTCACTCAGTAGCAGCAGGGACTCCGGTGGCTTCTCACATGATCTGTTCTCAAAGAACTTTCATGTGTGCTCTCCCTCGCGTCTCTCACTTGAACCTTTTGAGTGACATGGGCCTGTCTTTCTTTCTCACTTATTTGGGTAAAAAATAAGCTGAAAGAGGTCAGCTGACCCCCTGAAGGGCTGAGAGGTGAGTGGGGTTTGAATTCAGCTCTCTGACTCCCGGTCTGCTGGAAGACTCCTGCAGACGCACTGCAGGGCCACAGAAAACACTGCCTTACACTTTGCTGATTAGAAAATGACGTGAAGACAAGGTCCTCAGCAAGTCCCCAGGACTGTCATCACCTGGGATACCCCAGTTTAAATGAAAATGTCATGTCCCAGGGAACCCCCAATCCCAGGCAAACAGTGATGGGTGCTGCCCACCACCCCAACCTCACTGCTCCTTGCTGACTGATAGCCACATGTGGGGTCTCTGGGGTTGTCCTCCTTCCACCTGAGCCTCCTTCCCCACGGAGCCCCTTGGTTCCATCCTCAGTCCCTTCATGTCTGTGCTCAGATGTCACCGTGTCAGTGCCGTCGACCCCGACCACCCTCCTGAGCACTGCACACCTGTCCTGTGCCCTGTTGCTCCCTCTCACCCATCCCAACTTTGTCGTCTTCCTATAGCACTTCCAACATATTATAAAATAACCAACATGTTTTGGTTCTAATTGTTTCTGCTTTTTCACTGTCCCTGCTATGAGGGCAGAGATTCTAGCACAATGCCTGGGTACTTCCAAGCTAGTGGGTGTTCTCGTGAGTGTTTTTTGAACAAATGGATGAATGGACATGATGTGGTACCTCGAGGCTCGCAGCGAATGGGGAGCTGATTTAAGGCACATGCTTGAGACTCCAAGTCCAGTGCTCCTTTCTTTATCCCCACACCGTCTCTCCTGAGGGGGAAGAGAGGCCCTCCTCTGCAAATTGTTCAGATGGATTAACAGATCCTTTCCTGTCTGCAGATGATCCCATTTGACCTTCCAGGAAATTGAAACTCGGAGGTATTAGGATGAGTGAGTCTGAGGCTGGGATGAGACCTGGCCTGTGTATCTTCCAGGCCAGGCTGCCTAGGATGTCCCTGGCATAGAAGGCTAATGACTTAAATTGATGAAATGTATCTGAGATGCCACAAAATTGCAGACTGCTGTGTAATGCCATAGATCGCATTCTTTCCATGTTACCAATTTCTTCACTCAATAATATTTTATGAACATTCCAACCATTTGACCTTGATCTTATAGCCATGGACCATGAGATCTCACACTGTAGAGCATGGGATTTTATATGTAGTATCCCCTCATAGGCATTTATTCATTGCTTCACTTATTTACTAATTTTTTCATTTATTAGTTCAACAAACATGGATTATGGACCATAATGTGCCAGAGACACTGATTGCAGGGTGCTAGCGATCTTTACTAAGGAAAAAGAGGCTGTTTGATCTGGTTCCGCATTGGACTTCGATTTGAAACATTGCCTGTGAGGTCTTTTAAAAGAATAATTCATAAAAGAGCCTGGAACACTCCTTGGACTATTTGGTGCCTCGTATGCAATGTGAGAAAACATAAGAGTTTCAAACTGAGTAGAAGATAAGAAGGCCCTGGGGCCCCATGAGCTGAGCTGAGAACACTTTGCCTAATGGGCTCTGAGTCTGTAGCCCCTGCAATCAAGGAGACAATTTTGATGAGCTAATGGGAAATGCATCTCTCTCCCTTTATTTCCCCCATCAATAATGTCCCAGTGTAACTCTCGTGACAGATGCATTCCATACTTTACACACAGCTCTTTATCTTGTTTCAGCATCTTTCAGCACTCAACAAGAGCTCTGAATTTGCTTTGGTTTCCGTCTGAGGCTTATGCGCTCTGACAAGTTTTATTTCTAGAGGGATTTTGCATAAAATAAACAGAGGTTTTAAATGGAATTCCACAGAGACGGAAGCTAGTGTGAACGCTCTGATACGCGTGTAAGATGTGGGCCACACCCCTGTCTCAGAATCCCACCTGATCGTCCTTCACTTGCCGGGTGGATACTGATCTGACCTGCTAATCAATGGACATTCTTTGGGCCTGGGTTGCCCTTTGTGTCCACGAATCCAGTGCCTGCTATCTGTCAGCCTCCACTGTGGCACCCTGGAATGGGGATCCCTGACACAGACCTGACCATTTTGTGGGATGGTAGCCCAACACAGTGTCCCTGCCTTTCGTAGCCAGGATGATTCTGGGCTTTCCCAGTGGTCAGTGGTAGAAGCAGAGAGAATGAGTTCTGGTCTGTGTTAAGTGGAGCATGCTTTGTTTGACCTACTGTTAGATGTTGAAGAGTAAGACATGGGCTCTCCAACCATCTACCACTTACCACGGGGGCCAAGATGGGAGCAGGAGGAGGTTTCCACTCGAGCACACAGGGTCAGCTGGAAGGGAAGAGAGGACAACAGGGATGCGGAGGTGGTGGCTCCTACAGAGATGTCTATGGGCTTTGAGATGGCTTTGGCCATCGGATCAAGTCATGATCAAGGCTGCCTGAAGTGCCTCCTTGTTTCTTAAACAGGATGGAGTAGAATTTTATTTGGTGGAAAACTTTGCTTTTTCACTAAAGGAACAGGGCACTGTGCCAAGAAACTGCAGGGAGCCTCTACCTGAGGGTGTGTGCGTGTGCGAGCGTGCAGCTGGGCCTCTCAGATGGAGTCCTGCTTGGCATCTAGCTGACTATATGTACATGTGGCACTGGCATGCCACTGTGGTACTGGCATTTCATTTCCAGTAACATCTTGTGCTCCTATGACCTTACTGTACTGCATGAGGTGCTTCAGATGAATCCAGGTTATAATATGAATTTCAGCATGAAGCTTCAAAGTGTTACACGTGTTTTCGTGGGTAATGTAAATTCACACACACACACACACACACACACACACACACACACAGGAGTTTTCTTCCATCCCTTAGAATGGAGGTCCTCAACCCTTGGAGCCTCAGATTGGTACCAGTCTGTTAGGAAGCAGATCACACAGCAGGAGGTGAGAGGCCAGCCAACAAAGCTCCATCCATCTGTATTTACAGCCACTCCCCATCGCTCATATCACAGCCCCAGCTCCTCCTCCTGTCACACAAGCAGCAGCAGTTGATTCTCAGAGGAGCGTGAACCCTCCTGTCAACTGTGCTGGTGCAGGATCCAGGTTGTGTGCTCCTTAGAAGAATCTGATGCCCCTTCCCCGTCCGTGGAAAAATTGTCTTCTATGAAACTGGTCTCTGGTGCCAAAAATGTTGGGGGACAGCAGCCTTAGAAGACTTTAGGACTTGCTAAGACAAGTTAACCTTGCCAGGACCTACTCAGTACTTGGTCAAATCTAGCCCTTCTCCTCTTTGCCTGGTACCAAACCTTTAGCCTAGGCAGGACACTGAAAATGTCTTATGTGATTGACTTGCTAATGATCAGCTGTGTGACCTTGTGCAGGATATTACATGTCTCTGGTGTCCAGTTCCTCACATAGGACAGGGATTAAGCATGCGGCCTGCATCACAGAGCCACTCACAGGGTCCAGCGACTCAGGGTTAGCCTCGACTTCCCACATACAGGTGCCATGTTCTCCAAGGGTCCCTGGTGTCTCCTTTGCTGTCGTGTAGCCTCTAATGGACCAGAGATCCAAGTGTTCTCACCAGGCTTCAGGAGTGACCTTGACTTAGAAGCTGTCTTGGTGCAACAGGGATCTATCTTAGACCTAAGGATGGACCTGAGTCACATCAAGTGCTTGGGTAATAGGCTGGTGGTATACCTGGGAGCCAGGGTGTCCTGCCTTAGTCCAAGCAGGGGTCTCAGAGGTCTCAAGGCCCTCTCTGCCTCACAGCTTCCCTGTGGAGATCTCCTGCAGCTCCAGGTCTCTCCAGGCCTGGGCCATAGAATGAGGTGCAGATGCCAGGGCCTTGCCTGGGTCATTTGGCCTCAGCCTGTATAGTCCTTGCCTCTCTTATTAGAAATGTAGAGCCACACCCCTTACAGAAATTGTTATTCTGCACTGTAGCCAGGCCAAGGGAAGCTAGGAGGATGTGCACTGATGGCTTTTCAATATGGCATTTTGTGGTGAGGGCATATCATTTAGAAGTTCAAGTTTATAATGAAGGGCTGCTATTGTCACCAAGCAAGGAGTGTTAGTGATGATGGTGTTTCTTCCCCTCTGTGCATGTCTATTAACACTGCGGGGGGGCTCACGCCTCAGCCCCCTTCCTGCTAAAACCATTAAGGCATTTTCCAAAGAGGACGTTATCTTGGCTTCCAAAATGCATGAAAAGTTTGCATCTGCGGGAGCTCTAATTCCTGCGTTAGGAAAAAGCTGCCCTGAGTTCTCCCTGGTTTTCTTTTCACAGCCAGCGATGGAGATTACTGGCGCCTGCTGAACCCTGGAGAGTATGTGGTCACAGCAAAGGCAGACGGCTTCACCGCATCCACTAAGAACTGTATGGTTGGCTATGACATGGGGGCCACGCGGTGTGACTTCACGCTCAGCAAAACCAACCTGGCCAGGATCAGAGAGATCATGGAGAAGTTTGGGAAGCAGCCCGTCAGCCTGCCTGCCAGGCGACTGAAGCTGCGTGGGAGGAAGAGACGACAGCGCGGGTGACCCTCCAGGACCCTTGAGACACATCCTGGCCCGAACACGTTAACCCAACCCGGTAGCAGCTCCACAGCAGACTCACTCACTGTTGTTTTCTCTGTAATTGAAGAGGCACCTGGGAGAGTGTGCACATTACACGGCTGGTCCCAAGGGGAGGGCTGGAGCCTTGGCTGTTTCCTTTGTTCCCATTTATCCAAATAACTTGGACAGAGCAGCAGAGAAGGCTGGTGGGAGTGAGAGAATTCAGCAAGTCAGCCTGGGAATCTGAGAGAAAGGAGGCACCCAGTCACAGCCTCTTGGGTAGACAGGGAGGGAGACCGGTGCTTCCCTCTCTGTGCAACAGCAAGAGTTCTGTGTGCGTTTGCAGTTTGTGCAGTGAAAATGGCAGCATTCCTGGGCCTGCCCCTCTCACATGTTACCACACGAGATGTTTATGGGCATCCTAAGCAAATCTACCTTCTCTGGCCCCAGGACATTCTAAGGTGCTACGAAAAAATTCTGCATTCTGTTGACAGCAGAGACATGACCAAGTGTCAGTAAGTGTCTTGGATCATTTCAGTTTGCCTTTCCAAGAAAGGATTGCATTTATAGAAGGAAAGAAGCTGAGATCATTCAAGAGCGATTGTCGGGCAGCAGGCTTGGGGCTGCTGTACCCATACTCGGTCCACAAAGTACCCCCAAACACGCTGCTGACCCAGTATGCTTGGTGGGGGGCTCCCTAGGCAGGGAGGGCCAGAAGTGCCAGCCTTCCTGAGGGACAAGCTAACTTAGCCAGGATCTCCTCCCTGGCCTGCCAAACTTGGAGCAAACCAGAAGAGGGCTTCAGCCCTGTCTGTGCTCGAGGGGTCCCTCCTCTGTGCAGTGGGCACCCCAAGTTGGCCTGAAATCAACATGGAAGTTATTTTGATGTGTAGAATGCCAGTCTTCCAAATTAGGTGGAATTTGATTTTAAAAAAAATCTTAGGATTCTCTGTGGAGCATCAGTTTGAGAGGAGATACTGAATTGTCATGTAAGAAAAAATGTTGTGTCTCAAGTTTCATTAACATTGCTGCCTCACTGACGTGGGAAGAATGAACAAAATAAAGAGAGCAAATGGTACAGTCCTTCTAGCGTGTGGCTTTTTGGGGTAGACTTGCAGCCACGTGAATGTCATACCCCCCACTGCCTCTCCCTGAGGTCAGTCACCCTAGCAAAGGTGCCCGGGTAGGGGTGGGCACATGCTGGGGTCCCAGGAGCTGTGTGTCCCCTGAGTCCTTCCCAGGAGAGACATGGGCTTGGAAGCCACTGGTGGCTCTTGGAGATGCCAGCGAGCATCTTTAGAGAAAAGAACTTCATGTGACTTCCTGGCAGTGTACACTGGAGTCAGCAAACTTTTCTTATGAAGGCGCAATCATTATCTTAGGCTTTGCAAGCTGTGAGGTCTCTGCTGTAACCACGCAGCCCTGCTATTGTAGTACAAAAGCAGACACACACAGTATGTAAGGGATTGGGCTTGGTTGGGTCCCAGTAGAATTATTTACAAAAACAGGTGGCATCTGGACTTGGCCTTCAGGCCGGGATGTACTGGTCTTCTGCTATAAACCAATGTTGTCTGATAGAACTTTCTGTAAGGGTGGAAATGGTCTATTCTATGTCATTTTAACACAGTAGCCATTAGCCACATGTGGCTATTGAGTGCCTGAATGGTGACTGCTGTAACTTGGAAACTAGATTTCTAAATCATTTTCATCAAAGTAATTTTCAATAGCCAATTGTGCTGGGGGCTGTATATCAGACCCTGCCGCTTTCAGCTAAGCCCATCATGAGATCTTAACTGAGCATTATATGTGGTAAGTGATGATATAAAGCATTTAAAACTATAAATCACCTCTGTGGTTCAGAAAGGCTGTGAATGCTTGGGAGATTGGGGCTTTGCCAGGGGCTGGCCACTGTTGCCAAATAACTCAGTCTTAGTGCCAGTACTTAGCTTCGGTCTGCCACACTTGTGTACTCCGTGGCCCTCTCTGCAGAGCCTGTCATCAGTCTTAGGTGCCCTGGGCTTGTGGGCAGGAGCTCTGTACTGCAGGGCTGGCCAGACCCTGGTACATGTCTCATATCAGGCAGGTCTCTAAGTTCTCATCCGCTCCTGCAAAGTGAAGCCCATGGGCTGGTCAGACTGGCTGTGGGTGGCTGCTGACTTCCCTTGAGAGCCCATCTCCCTTGTTTGGGGGCTGCTTGGCCCCTGTGTAACACAGTAACCCCTCTTAGGACCCTCAAGCCCACATGGCCTTCCTGGGCCCTGCCTCTGAAAATCCTCTCCTACTGGCCTTCCCTCCTGCCTTGCAGCCAGGAGCTAAGAGCACCCCCCTTCCCTCCCTACAGTTCTGTCCTAGAGGCTCCCACAGACCTCTGCAAATAGACTTTCCCCCCACAGCTGGAGACCTTCCTGCTTCTCCCTCCAGGTGTCTCAAATGCCACCTCCTCCAGGAAGCCTTCAGGCAGGTCAGGACCATGGGGATGAACCAATCTGCAGAGCCCTCAAGGCCTCTCAGAGGAGTTGTCCTATTTTAGTTCCTTTCTGTGTCTGGCCTGGAATCTCCCTAGGGCAGGAGCCACATCAGCTTTTTATTCCCTCCTGTGGGCTCTGCTTCTCACAGCAGGCATCAAAAGGGGCAATTCAAACTGAACCAGCCTCCTGCCTTGTTCTAAAGATTCCTTTACAAATTAAGAAGAAAATCAAAATCTGTAATTTTAATTTGTTTAATGTCTTTTTACCTTCTTAAGAGTCTTCATTTTTTTTAAGTAAATTCTCGAACTTGAGTAGAAACACATCTAAAAGATTGGCAGGCTTGTTTGTTTTAGACTTTTTCTATAGGATAAAATCAACTAAGGCGATCCCTGTCCTCCAGCAGAGTCTGCCTTGAATTTATCACTTTTCTCCCCCCATCCTGCTGGCGCAGGCGGCAGCACCCTGTTCAATGCTGCCTGTGTTTTATGTTGAAGAACATTTAGGAGCTCTAATTAGGATTTGTGGGTGATCGCCACCCATTTTCTATGAGTTGTGGGGTATGGTCTTCAACAGGATGCCCCAGAATTTATTCAGTCTTTGTACAAGAAGGACACTACATCTTTAAAATCACCTGTGGTGTTAGTGTGCACAGCTGTGATGTGGTGTGAATGATGGTGCTTAAATAATCATAGCGGCAGGACCATGGCAGTTTCCCAAGTTTGCAGGTTTAGAGTTAGCTCTAGTGGTGTCCCCACACCCAGGGGGCAGTCACAGTGTGGAGGGGGCTGCCACCCACAAAGCCAGATTGCAGCAGGACAGGACAGGCCAGAGGCTGCACTCTGGGTACTAGGGAGACCTCTCCCAAGACTGTGGGGACTCTTCCCCTTATCCTTCCCTCCCCTGCCACATAAACACAGCCCCAAGTTCCCAGCCATGGCACACGAAATCCAGGGAAAATTAGAAAAGAAGAAATCAAGAGAGCTGGAACCTGCAAGACAGTTTTTAGTACCTTCTGGCATATGCAGAGGACAGTGACAGGTCTTCAAGCTGAGGGGCACCCTTGAGATCCATCAGTGAACCTGAGGATGGCAACCAGGTTTCCTCTTGGAGGCCAACTCTGACTTATCAGTGGTTGGTTGGAGCTCTGTGTTAAGAAGGATTCTGAGGCAGAGTCCTGACTTACAGAAAGAATGGTGCAACTAATTGGCTGTGTCTGCTCTGGGTGAGGCAAGCAGGGAGGGCAGGAGTCCCCAAACTATTCCAATTCTCAAACTATTTCTATCCCCAAACTATTCAAATCCTCCTGGATTTAGAGACAGGAAGGCTGAGGCTCAGGGAGGGACATGAAGTGTCCAAAGTCCTATTTCAGTTTCTGGCAGAGGTAGGACATTCAAGACAGTGCTTTTTTGCAGCCTACTAGGAAGCTATAAGCAGGTCCTGGGGTCTGATGCCACGGGAGTCACTCCCACCCCCAGGCAGTGGTGGAACACTGGGAGTTGGATGCAGTTCAGAAATCAGAGGACGAAGGATGGAACCCTTGCTTGATAAACATGTCTAGGGAAACTTAGCCAGGAGCTGATTACATATTTAATGAAGCCCTGCAGAAATGCATTGGGCCTGATTCTGGGGGCTATTTTGCCATCATGTCTCCTCGTCACCTTGAGACAACCTGCCTGATGGCTGGTGAGCTGATTGCATAGTCCCACCTTGACTCTGCCAGTGACGCCCGTGGGTGGGGCAGCCTCTGTGTCCTTCGGAGCCTGGCCAGCTCCCGGAGTGCCAGGAGGTCAGCACCATGCTGGCCTGTCTCGTCATCCAGTCCACCACGAGGGCCAGTCTGAAGGGAGGGCACAATGGCTCCATCTGATGCTTACAAGTGCCTGGTTACTAGGTTCTGTCCCCCAGCCAACATCGTGGAAAAGGCCACCTTCCAGAGCCTCCTCCCAGCTTCTCCTCTGAGAAGGCTAAGCAGTGAGTGTCCACTGAAACATCAGCCCACCCTTGTGAGTCAGCACCATGGCCTTCAGAATAGCTCGTGCAGGCAGTGTGGGACAGCCTCATCCCCAGAACCAAGACATCTGGGTTTAAGTCCCGGCTCTGCTACTCAGTCCCTGCACAAGTTGGGGTAAATTATGTACCTTCTGGCTCTCAGTTTACTCATCTGTAAAATGGGCACAGTAATGTGTCCTACCCCATTGTCCAATGGGAAGCATTTAGACAGGTGCCTAGCACATGCAGCACTGAGATGCCAGCAGCAACTGATGGTTCTGTCTCAGGGTCTGTGTTCCCAGGACTGTGCAGTACTCTCAACTCATCACTGCATTTAGAGGTAAACATTATCATTCCCATTTTTCAGGTGAGAAGGCTGAGGCTTAGTATGTACATAGGTCATCTACTTTGGTTTTTTTAAAAGTTAGTCACTAGGTTGGAAACTACAAAATTAATCTGCTCCAAGACCTGCATTAGCTGAGCAGTGAGGGGAGGAGGCTCTGAGGCGGGGAGGGAAGCAGGCCCAGGGTCAGAGAGGTGGCCTTGTGGCCACCGAGATCACTTACTGCATGGGGCTGGCATTTAATGAGTTTCCACTGAAGCTTGTGGCCTGCTGTCTGACGCTGTCATGTCCCTCATCCTCCCCAAGTGTGAGCACGTGTTGTGAGGCTCCCTGCGCCCTCAGGATACAGCACTGTTCCTTCTGCTGACTCAGACAGAACACAGGGGCTGGGCAGGAGGAAGGCGGAGGCCTTGAGCCCCACACCCCAGCCCACCTACTGCAGGAAGGAAAAGACCCCTGTTGGCGCACATCCCAGGGGCCAAGGGTGGCAGGAGTGAGAGTGAAAGGATGGAGCATTGGGGCAGGGGCTTCACTGTGATCCCAGGGCCATCTCCTAGCATCTCAGCAACTCTGTACCTGTCACCTTGTTTCCTCGAGATTTGTTTCTGCATTTCTAAAGTGGGTATAGTAATCCTTGCCTCTGAAGGTCGTCATCAATTCACTTAA